GGTCACCAACATGGCAGCAAGGAAAAATGTGGTTTTGGAATGTTAAAGGTTGAGATTTTGCTGGACGTCTCGATATCAATACTGCTGGCGGTCCGCTAGTCCGCAATAGGGTATCATTGATCCCAGGCTAGAACCAATCTCACAAATTTCAGAGTACAAGATTAGAGCATCTCCCCTTCCCTGCACGTAGGCAATTAACAGGTTGTTGACTATAAATATCCTTTATATTCTCTTCTTCTCAAGCAAGCCCTTTCAGGACGACAACCTAAGTGCTCGCTGGAGATCTCTATTCAAATGGAGATTCGATTGATATGTCATAGGCAGGTATCCAGTGGTCCTCACGGAATTCAGAGAAGTTCCCAGGGGCATCCAGCAACTATTATGCTACACACTGTAGATTTGGACACTGTTACGGATATCTCTACTACGAATTTCTTCACTGAATCGACTTGCATAAATAGTTCTGGATGGTTGATTACCTATTCGCATTACCATGCAAGGAAGGATGAAAATGAAATGAAGATTCATTAACCCTGCTACAAATACAGATTCGCTGGCGGCCGCCTAGTTGCAAGCCAGTACCGTAATCCTTACCTACCTTGTCAAAACAATAAAAGGGAGAAGAAGACAATACTCTAAGCGATTTAAACCACTGAAATAAGCAGGATAAAAAAACCACCAAAAAATCACATAATATCCATCGCTTCCACATTATTCAGACTATCATCGTGCATATCCGGCGCCCCACTGTCAACAAAACCAAATTCCCAATCGCCATTCTCAATCCTGCTCACCCGGTCTAATTCCGCTTGGTACTCCTTTCGCAGATCTTCCAATGTCACGATGATACGTTTAGGAAGCTTTGATTGCTGGCCTGTAGAGTGCTGCGATGACGTTATGCTTAATTTCCTCTCACCCGCACCAACACTTGAGCGTGGGGAATAAATAACATCGTGCGCGGGGGACGGCAGTGAAAAAGAGGTCCGCGGGGACTTTGTCGCCATGGTAGAATCGAAGAATGCGGAGACATCATCATCATCGCCATCATTATCACCACCACCAGCAGCAGCAGCAGCAGCAGCATTATTAATGATACTACCACCTCGTAGATGAGCGTTGTGTTGCGGAGTAGGAGCCTCGACTAGGATATAATTTTCATTCTTATCCATACATGCAAGAAGGTTTATCAGAGATAGGAGCTCATTTCGCAGGTTCTTGCTTTCCAAGTCTTCCTCACTAATTTCCGGATGTTGAGTTGCTGCCGCTTCGTTCGCGTTTCGTCGCATCATCAACGCGCGTGTCGAGTAGAAACCGCGATCCCTCATCTCGCGTAGGCGCTGGACGGCTTGATAGGACACTTCTGCTGCGCCACGGATATCATTGCGCGCCACCCGGTAGGCTTGGAGAACGCGCTGGTAATCTGGGATATCGGAATTTTCTTGCCAAGATGTTGCTGTGGGTAGAGCTTGTCCTTGTGATCGACCGTGAGTAGATTGTTTCTTCGCGAGCGATAGGAGGATTTCGTCGACGTGGGAGGCCAGATTTGGCGCCAACGATATCGGAAATCGAAGAATCCTTTGGAGGCCAGAAATACCTGGCCCTGAAGCAGCTAGAATAGTGGTGATTAAAGCGGTGAGAGCGGACTTCTGCAATGCAGCATCTGTGTATCGTGAGAGTGCAGAGTAGGCTTCATCAAAACGACAGGTCTTTAGAGATGCATGGAACAGACGGGAAAGAAGGTCAGTCCGGAGATATATGTAATCAGAGTCAGGTTCGTTTTTCCTTGGGTCAGATTCCAGGGCCTGGAGAGCAAGGCGGGCAAAATCGGCAACATGCGCAAAAGCCCGTGCCTGCTCGAAAAGTGAAAGAATGTGCTGAAAGTATTTAGGCAACCCGTTATAAAAGCTGTTGACGGATATTATATCAAGAAGGTTGGAAGACATTTCATGAAGGTTCCCAACTGCCTTTCCGTGGGCTACATTGAAAATACATATTTTATGTTAGCAAAGAATTATTATTTCCATTACACAAGTCATATTCAATTAGCACTTACAAAGGATATACGCAGCTTTTTGGAAATAGATAGTCGCTGAATCGAACTCGGATTTCGCTACATATAGTCTTCCCTTGACGTAAGTAGACCAGGCGGTATTAGGCTGGAAGCGTAAAAAGTCAGAGGCTAGGTCAATGTTACCCGAAGCCAGGAGGTCGCATTGAATAAAGACTAAAACATTCGGAAACGACACTTCACCCTGTCTTGTGATCCAAGACACAACGTCTCGAATTTGTTGGGTGAGGGTAAACGTTTGAGGAACGCCGAATGTCGGGCGTGGCTTGATATGGCAGGCGAAAAGGTCTTCAAGAATGGTGGATAATCGGGGCTCTCCTTTGTCCGCGCCTGTCCCTTCGGGAACTGTGGGTGACATCGCATTGCTTGTCCTGCCATGGGGTGGATTTCCATGCCACGGTCGAACATTTGATCCCAACCAGATCATCATCTCATATTCTTTTAGCATCTCAATCAGGGTCACAAACAGGTCTACCCCATCAAACAGCACGCCATCTTCCTGGGTCAACTCAGTCTCGACGAAAACGGTCAGTAGTAGAAGGTCATATAGAACTTGTTTGTTCAATCTTTATTGTTTCCAAAGCGCCCTGAACAGTTACCCATCCGCCCAAAATCTGTTGATAGAAGTTCAGAATCCTTCCCTGGGAATCCAAGGGGCATCGTATCGATAATTGAAAGAAAGAGTTCGGTGCTGAGCTTTTTAAACCCGATGGCTATCTCAACACTCGCAAACATGCTATCAAACATATCGTCTGTAATGAGCTCGGCGAATTTACTCTGTGCATGAAACGCAGCAATCCGTTGAGCCGCTGATAGAGAAGGCTCGGTAAAAAGCTCCGCATTCAATGCGGTTGCGCAGGCATGACTGAGCTCTGGAGTGAATTTTTTTCTAAATGATGCAGCAGCTGCAATAAGTGCCGCCGCCAGATCTGAGTCTCTCAACTCCTTATCCAAATTTCTATGATGCAAAGAGTCTTCCAACGTTCTTCTATGATCTTTTAACGCATGGCCGTCATTGTGGACGAGAAGCTCTGTGCCGCTACATTCCCGGATAAGGCAACACCCATCAGAAAAGAGTAGCCATGGAATATCCGTAAACGCGTCATAACTTAGCGAGATCGCCTCGTTTCGTTTTCTATTCAGATCATCGGCAATTTGCCAAAACTGCCGCCATTTGGTATCTGTTTCTCGTCGATACTTTGTATAGTCGACTCCAGCCTCGCTGAATTTTCGGAGCGTCACCGATTCCGAAATGGTCGAGTAGAGCTGTTGCTGGAGGGGAGTGAATTTTTTGTTGTTTCTAGGTGTCGGTTTAATTTTCATCGCATCCTGGTAAATAGCAAGAGATGTCGCAAGGATTTCACGAGAGTATCTGCCGGGACAGAAAAGATATTCCAGCCATTTCTCCGCGGGATCCGCAATGTCAGATAGCAGGAAACTCGGGGGTGGTTCGTCACTGCTTGTCTCTAAGGCCATTCCGGTCCAATTACGGCGCCATGCCGATTCCAAATCATCCAGGTTAAAATGCAGGCTGTAAACTTGATAGAGGTTGTTGTTTCTCCAGAGTACCCAAAGGACCATATGTCTTCCTTCTTCCATGGACTTTATTTGAAAATCTGCAATATTCCAAAACACACTGCCTGAAGGGTCCGGGTCCACAGGTTTCAATTTGGAGTCTGGAAAAAGATCTTGTACCTCCAATTGCGATCCCAACCCACCCTTCACAGCCCAAAATTTAAACTGGCCGTCGTCAAGAGGTGAGTAAGTGACGGCATAATATGTTTCACCCTCGATCACCCTTTCAGCATTGAAAACGCGAATAAATGCAGACTCAGACGGATTCAGGGTTGCAGGTGCAGCATCTTGCTGTTGGACTGGGCGGTTTAATAAATCCCTCGATGCAGCCAGCTTATGGCTTGCCAAATTCCAAATCTTTAATGTATGATTGAGACCGACGACGAACACGAAGGCATGGTCAGAGGTTGTGGCAATTGCATTTGAAGTATTTGGATCTAAAACTCGCCCGTCATAGCGTATCTGCTGGTGACCATTCCATTTAACGAGTCCACGCAGCGAGGAGCCCCATGGCTTCTCATCGAAGGTGATCGCAGACCAATTTGATCCTATGCAAGAGTAAATATAAATAGCAGTTAGCAGAAAGAAATCTTACTTTCATAAGATAGCTATATAGCTGTCTAGCTATCTTTAGATAATGCGTACCGTCATCACCTGCTTTCCTCGTCAACCTCAAAAGGGCGCCACTATCCAAGGAAATAAACAATTCTTGGGGACTGCTCGCATGCAAGCGGTGAGGATGCGCAAATGCCAACGGCGCCGGGCAGCTCACTTTACACCAATCGGGCACGTTCTCATCAATCGCTGCGACCCGTCTAAAGAACTCCTGCCGTAGACTAATGGTGTACAAGTGCCTATCCCTCGTGACAACGAACAAACTCAGAACTTCATGATCCTCCGAATCCGCCAGCGCAACGCCGTGCGGTACTATCTTCTCCGGGAACTCGAGCCGTAGCAGTAGGTTTGCCTCATGATGTGGATGTGGGTGGTTGTTACTGTTGCTATTGTTCGTCGCAGAGGTCGCCGTTCCCGTAGTCGTCGACTCGCTAGCACCTTTTGTCAAGTCCACAGACTTGATCTCGAGAAACCTATCGTCGCCATCATCGCTGCCGCCTACGACTCGCCAGAGGAAGCTGCGTGGGTATGTTTTCCGCTGGCGGAAATAAACTGCACCCTGTGAGGCTAGATAGCGCTTCACGAATGTGTCTTCATCCTTCGTCGTGTCATCTGAGTACGCCGTATTAGAAGTCGACGGTAAGAGGGAGAATTTGGTACGTCGCTGTTGAGGGTTGCCGTGACCATTGCTGGAGGATGGGATTGGGATGTTTACAATTGATGCCGGTGCGGTTTGTCGCGTGTCGACCCTGGTCTCCTTGTATATTTTGAGCATGCTGGACATGGAGAGAATCAGAGGGTATTTTTAATTGCAGATGATTGGTACTTCTAACTGCCCATGGCTGGATGTTGAGTGTGGAGAGGTTTGGATGCATCTGAAGCAAGCTTGCGTGATAAAAATTTAAGGTTTGGGAGCCCGCCAGCTGCGCTTAAAGAGCTCAGTAAAGAGCTACACAACACATTGCAGGCATTGAAGTAAAGCATCATCAACAACGCTGGAATCAATTTATATTCATATAATAGCCCTACATAGTATACCTCAATATAAGTAAGACTCATCTAAAAATATTTCTAGGGCACCAATTGTATGATTTTCAAACTCAAAACAAACCCTCACAGTTGGACTCTATTAATTTATTCATGACAATTAGTAAATATCGCTCTCTCCCTTGACTTCCCCCGAACGCCGGATCCGAAATGCTATGGACAAAAGATTAGAGAAGGAAAAGCGTTAAGAGTCCGTTAAACGGGATAAATATATAGAGAAGAAAAGCTTCCCCAACAATATTTCAACCATCTAAGCCCCTAATAATCGTTTGGTCAATCCTTCTCCAAATCTTTCGGACTCGGATCCCCAATCCCACCTTCATTAATCGCAAACAGACAATCGCTCTCCGGAAGACAAGGGCTATCATAAATCTTGCAAATACGAGTCTCTCCCCGACCTTTCTTCAAACTTAACCTCGTCGTGCTAGCATGCGCAATAATATTGCCTCCAATGGGTTTCTTTGGATCTGGGTTGAACATAGCACTTGGCCCTCCATCCACTTGCGCAACTACCTGATTTGTGATAACAACCGCAATGCCAAACTCATCAGCAAGAGTCCGCAGTTTCCGCATGAATTTGGCAAGATGGTTTTGCCGGCTCGATAGCTCGCCTCGACCACTAAAGTCAGTCCTGTATAGAGCTGTGGCCGAAATCGACGATGAGGAGGGAAAACCGTGTCTCACACATCATCTGCGACGCTTGGTTGAGTAGCTGTAGTTGGTGGTCAGAGTTGTAAGCTCTGGCATATGCGATGTTGTCGAGAACCTCATCGCCGACAAGTCCATAGCGCTGAGCGACTGCAAGCAGTCGGGTCGGACGGAATGTGCCCTCAGTGTCAATATACAGACACTTCCCCTCTCCGCCGCCCATGTCAAATGGTAGTTGGCAAGTTACTGCCAGAGTATGACAAATCTGACTCTTCCCTGTTCTGAACTCTCCGAAAATCTCGGTAATGGACCCCGTCTCGATACCACCTGCCAGTAGAGTATCCAATTGTTTCGATCCTGTTGTTATGCATATCAAATCGTTTCGTCGAGCATGCATTTCAGTTGCCGTTGTGAAACCCATTGGCACGATTTTTGAAGCTACGATACATATGGTCAGGCTGGAGGGAATAGAATAAAATCCGAACGGATCACATAACTAAACAATATAACATACCCTCCGCAAGGATCTTCGTCGCTTTCTGCTCGGATATGCCTTTGATCTGTTCCAACATTCGCTTCGGCCTATATCAACACGAACATCGAGTAAGATAATTGACTTAAAAAAGCAAGCAATATTAAAAAAACAAGAGCAGGAATATATATGCAACATACGTATAGGCTACCGACTCAATGGTATGATACCCACCATCAATCACCAGCTTGATATCTCGTGCTGTCAGGCCATTAACTCCCTAATGCAAACAAACACCACAGCGCAGAGGTCAGTTTTTAGTCTTAATTCTTTAATTCATGCAGCATACAGCATATATTATCTCCAAGCAGGAACGAATCGTACGACATCAGACCAAAAAAATCTTTTCAGTTAGTCAACCGATGCAATATCAAAACCCACCTCCAATGCAGTCAAAGGTGTGGGTGCTCCAGGTCCCGCGAGGCCATTCTCCTCATACTCATTTTGACTCTCGTCTTCGACCGTCATAATTTTTTTTGCCGTCTGGCCGTCTCCGCTTGTGGTATACCTGCGGTTGTCTTGTTTACAGACAGATCAATCAATGCCCTTCGTTTCGCCGCCAGGGGGAAAATACGAAAACAAACAAATCGTCGACACAACAAAGGACGCGTCTGAACCCTAGAGGTCAAGGGGGATGCTTTGAATGAGAAGAAAACCCCACCAATAGTGCACAAACGGGGAGAAGAAGGCTGATATGGGCAAGTCGTGCTGGCAGAAATTCGTAGCCAAGAATGGGATGTCGTTGTTTTGCCCTTGCAGACGCGATGCGGAAGTAGTCAGAAAGATCATCCCGAGGCTGAGTCGCGAGATCATGTGACTTTAATGGACCACCCAAGAACTCATAATATGTGACCTGAAAACCAGCATCGAAGGCCTTTTATCACTCTTTTGAAGTTTTACCGTTGGCATTTTTATGCCCACAAGCAACATGAGGTGATCGCCCGCAATTTGAATGTATGTTTGGGAAATATAGAGGAGGATTCGGAGGAATACTACAGAAGTGTGGATGCTATGTGGTAATATAAATAACTAGGTAGGAAAAGGCAGATACAGAAAACATGCCTTCCATCAAATGAAAGAAAGTTTTTCTAACGTATCGTACACCCTGACTATCCATTTATTTTTCAAGGAAAACGTACGGACATCTGGGCCTCTAGATTTGTAACTCTACAAAAGAAAATTATAACTAGAAAATTATGGTATCAATTTTTTTTTTCTTTTTTCCCGGCCATACCCAGAGAAAATTCACGGCGGATATACAGAAGGACGCGACCACTTCCCTCTCGTCCTTATCCGTTTCCCATAAAAATAAAAAAGATAGGGAATCGGGATCAGCGGCAGCGACATAAATCCCAGAAGACTCGACGCCCACGGTACCCCGAGCTTCGAATACATCACCCTAGCAAACAATGGGAACGCACCCGCAAAACAACTGCGCAGGAACGTATTGGCACCAACTGCACTAGCCGAAACGGTCGGGAATGTATCGATCAGGTAATTTCAAGGCTGCTTGGAAAGACGGTGAAGAACCCAAAGCCCATGGATACTGTACCGATTACCTGCGCGACCCAGGGGAAGTGCGGTGGCGACGTCCAGCCGAAGATGAATAGGCCAGCGGAGAAGAACACGGAGCCGACCATCATGGGCGGAAGACGGGCTTCAGGAACTGGTCTCCGGTTGTTGGTGCGGAATTTCTTCAGGTAGAATTTCTGGTTAAACAGATTGGCACCTGCGCCAAGGATGACACTCACAGCAGCCGAGGAATGGTAGTGGCCGACACTGGCTCTAGTCACGGACTTCTATGACGGCGATAGAAAGAGATAGACTAGGTATAATATGCCGTAGACGAAAGAGGCGTACATAGCGACGAGGAAACAGATGGGAGTGCCTAAAAGCTGGAAGGGGACCACCAGGTATTTGTTTACCATTTCGGCGAAGCTGACATCCCATTCTTCATGGGGAGCGTGTAGCGACCAGTTGCCCGTTTCATATCGGAGACGACGGGCTTTTTTGACAAGGAGGATGGCAGGGTAGGATTCGTCTACGAATATGATATCGAGGATAAGGAAGAAAATCATCATTATCCCCGTTATCTAGGGGTGGGATATTGAAGTCAAAAGGGGTTTATTAGAGCAGGGTGGGAAAGAGGAGTGGGCAATTCTCGGCCAGTATCAAAACTCACATATTCCGTCCACCTCCAACGCAGATAACTCTGCACGATAGCTGCCCCAACGATGGGTCCCAAGCTGGGTCCTCCAACAACAGCCATCGCATAACCGACAATAGCGACACCTCGCTCTTCAGCTGGAAACAAATCACTCAGCACCCCACCTGTGTTAGTGACAGGCGCGGAGCCAAAGAAACCACAGAAGAAACGGGATATGAGAACCGTTTGGATGTCCTTTGCGCTGCCGGCTGTGAACATAAATATCGCAGCGAGAAAATACGGGAAGAGGACAGCGGGCTTGCGCCCATAGAGTTCGGATAGCGGGGCCCACAGTAAAGGCCCCAGACCAAAACCAAACAGCAGCAAGCTGACCCCCAGCACCCCCACTTCTTCTGAGATATGGAAGTCGGCGTCAACTTGTGTGATCCCGGGCGAATAGCTGGACGATGTTGTCAATGGATGATTTCCCCTAGTTATAAGAGAGAAGGGCGAATGATGGGTGGCCAATTTTGTATCAAGAGAGGCTTGGGCCTTACACTGCACTGGACCACGTAGAACCTGTAAGGGAAAAGAGACGAGAAAATATCAGCTCAGTTGCTCCGTGTGCCTCTGCCACGGAAGGACCAGCAAGAACCATACCCATTGTCGTCAACCCATATAAAAATGTTGTGATGGCCTTTTTACGAAATGACCAATTCATCGGGTGATACGCATCGTCCGACCCATCAAAGTCAACGAGGGTATCGCGTGACGTCTTTTGATGCGACAGCGGATGGGTGAAAGGCCGCATCTGGTCCGGGTTCCGACTCCGGACATGGTTGAGGGTGGCATTGTAATGCTGGGAGACAGTCGAGATTGCCGACTGGATTCTGCTCAAGCTGGCGGATTGGTGTGTGGAGATACTGGAAGTTCGATTTCGTGGCAAGTTTTCAAAGTAATTGAGACCATAATCATCGTCATCTTCATTATCATCATATCCAGGCCTGCTCTTCTCCAAGATCTGTCGTTCAACCGGCACTACGTCATTGCCGGCCCGTTGTGACGAGGATGCCCCTGCCATCTCATTTCTTAAAGCCCCCGGGCGCTTGAATAGAGTGAAACATTTAAGATAGAGGAATACTGTAGAAGGGATCAAATATATGAAAACCGGGCCTCCCTGACTCTAGGATAAATATTCCTCGTGAGATCTAGTCACAGGTTGCCGTTCGGCAATCGGCTAACTGGGAGAATCGAGGGTCTGAGAGCCGAGGCTTGCATCCATGGATCTTGAACTTGATGGTCACGTGGTAATAAAGCCAGGAGCTATATCAGGTCTATTTGAAGAGTGTGCTCCAGGGCAGCAGCGAGCCTGTAAAATTAGAGCTAAATTGGCCATAATAAAGCCCGCATTCCGATCTATAAAGCTATATACGGGATCGCTTGGTTACGTCACAAAGTAAATTTGTAAAACAAAAAAAAAAAAAAAAAAAAAAAAAAAAAAGATCTCTCTTAGCGCGGATTGGCCGATTCCCACTTCTGTAATGTGTCCTCTGCCACGGTCACTTTGAGGCCGACCCTGGCGTCGAGTTCGTACGTTTCCCACTTCGCAACTTTCTCAATCCATTCTCTGCATTCGCGGACCTTCCGCCGATCATGAGCTTCTCCGTTTTCGTTCGATTCGTGGCTTGTCTTAGAGGATATTGACATTGACGGTTTGGGGACATGGTTCATCTCCGTTGCCGAGGTAGATTTAGACTGACTTTGCGAGCCATTGGCGGGGACACCTCCTGCAGTGGAACAAATTGGCCGATATGAGTAGCGTTCCATCCACAAATTCGCTGCCATCTCGTAGTGGGCTGTCGGGCAAGTCCAGTCATCTTTCAAATGGCCTTTGAATGTCGCCGGGTCATGAACAAGGATTTTCGACCGCAAGAGTTTCTTCGATTCTTCATGTCTTCCCAGAAAACGGAATATGGAAGCCCGGAGGAGAGCCAAAATCGCGAACTCGTCTTCATTTTCGCGATCCCAGTGTTTATTTTGCTCGCTTTCCGACCACGCCAAGCACCTCAGCGAATTTTGAAGTTCTTCCTCGTTCATGCGGCTGTGCCCGTTCCATAAGTAGATCATTTCTTCCAATGGGTCGACGCCGATCGCGTCGATAAAGCCAACATTCCATTCCTTGGCACGTGATTCCCATTTTGTGATTTTCCGGGTAACAAAAACATCAAATGGAAGCTGTCGGGCCATAAATTTCTTCTTGCCCGCTTGCGACGGAACCTTCTGGAATAATTCAACGGCTTTGGCAGCATGCTCCTTGGCTAGCGTAGGCGAATCTAGGGCATTTTGCCTGTAGATTGCAAGATGAGCTGATGCAGCAATATAATAATACAAAGCTCGGGACCACGAATTGAGTTCAGCACACTAAACGGCAACATGTCAGGAAGGTTCAGAAACAATCAAGTTAAAGTAAAATTTGATATGGAGATGTAGGTGGTTGGGACCCAGTACCTGGATGAATGATTCCGCGCACAATTCGTATTTATGAAGATACATAGAAGTCAAACTCTTTTCGAACACACATAGCGCTTCAACCTGCTTCAGAGGGCTTTTAGTATCTCCAGAGAGGAGCTCCAGGGCCGCGCCTAAATTTTTCTTTGCAGCTTGCATCCGAGATTCCTCTAAGAGCCAAAGATGGCTATGGGGGAATCGATGTCTCATCACTGACAACAAAGCAGTGAGTCGGTGTTCCGAATAGCTGTCGACCCTGTCTTCATTTTCACTCGGACAGTCGTCGATGATGTCGCAATGCCGGATAAAACCATTATAGTAGGCCAGCAGTGCCAAACCCGCAATTGCGCCATTTAAGTTATGGAATTTGCTAGCTTGCCACAGCATCCGAAGACCCCGACGCCGGTCTCCTCTAAAGCCCACAATATAGAGCAATTTAGAAAATGCAGGCGGAACCATCGAGATAAGGAGCAATAAAAGTCCGAAGCAGAGGTTTGCGCCGGAATGTACAAATGCATCTACGGGATTTGTAAATAAATCGGAGTCGGGATCCTGATCCAGGTGACGTGTGGGAGATGGAGGTGGTTCTGGAGGTTGTGATGATGATTTTTCAGCATCTGTGGAAGAAAACGCCGTGACATCGTTGGAAAGCCGCGGTTCGTCTGGCTTATCATTTCCGAACTGGGAGCCTGAGGCCCTGTCGGAAGTGATTCCGGGGTCTTTCGATGTATCGCTTCTGTTTACTAATGGCTTTGTGGGCACTGTAAGGGAGTGGTTAGGTGGCAATGAGATATTAGAGGAGGCCATCTTTCTTGCGGATTCCTCCCGGAGGTACTTCTCCTCCATTTGCATTATATTATCCAATGCGATGTACGCTTTCCTTAGTTTATAGAAAGCCTTGATGCTCTCCGTTAAGCTTTCGTTCAGGACGCCGACCAGAGCAGCCATGAGCTGAGCCATACTTCGACATAGAAGAAATTCGGTCCCAGGGGTATAGATCGGTGACCGGTATGCATTGGGAGCATTTGAATTATGTTGAGCTTTTTGATAATCGTTTGACGCACACGTTTCCGCCTCCGATAGCCGTTCGCCCGCTGGAGAGAAGACATTGTAAGGAACTGGAATTGTAAATCACAGAGGCGGGGAACAATACCAAGGCGCATGATTTCCTGTTCGAAACCCAAAGTGGCCCGAACGAACGAGACGATCCCTTTTCCCAGCTGTGCGACAACACATAGAGACACTCATAGTATTATTATTTGCTTCAAGAAAGGGAGCAGCAAAACCAATTGCTTCGTACAAAAACACATTGTGAACGACCCGTCGCGCATACACACCTTATGAAATGACGAATCACCTTTATTTAGACCCTCTTCAGCACCGTCAACATCATCGTTGATGATAAAGGTAGCAGCTGCGTTGGCATCGTATCAGCGGGGTTGATCTCAAGGGTGTTGGTGTTGCGGTTTGGCTGGGGCGAGAGGAAGATCTAAATACCTCGAAGAGCACTCTGCACTGTATCCACCAAGTGACACAAAAGATATATCAGCTACGGATCTACAATACTGAGAGGACGTATAAGGGGTCATAGCAGCTTACGCTCTTGCGACTCTGCCAATGCGTCGAGAGACTGCGTGGAGACACTCGCCGGAGATGCCTTGTTGTACAGCCATGATCCGACACGAAACATTGCGTTTTATTCCGGAGAAAGGATGGTTATAGGATAGATTGAAGGTGCAAATATACCGCGCAATAGACTGAAATGGGACATATAGAAGGGAAACAATAATTTAGAAAAGATATGGGTATCCCATGAGATAAAAATGCCACCCGCAACCTGCGGAAAGGCGCACAAAACGAAGGATATATATAGCTCACGACGGCTCAAGCATTGTAGGAGAGAGAGCATACGGGAACGGAACAGCAATGTCTCAGAAACAGCAGCATGCATGGGAGAGGCTGCACAAAGACAGTGAGAAGATGCAAAAGACGAAAAGCAGAGGTTGAAGCCGGATTGTGAAAACGCCGCCGGAGCCGCCGCGGAGACCGAACGAGAAGTGAATAAGGATGCCTGGAGCTGGGTTGCATAGTTACGCCATTACCGTACATAACTCCGTCGTAGACACCTTATCGGCCGCGTGGTGATGGGGCTCATCGACGACTGCTGGGATGGGGTTTTCGCTAAAAAACATGCATGTGTCTATTGCTACCGGCACTTTGGTGTGGAGAACCAACTCTTCCTTTCTCAAAATATCAGTTTAGAGGGTCTGATTATGGGGATTTCGACCCTGAATGAGAGTGTTACTTGCTGCGTGACATTCCATGGTATTGACGGGCGTAATATACAGGACCTTGGCATGTTTGACACGTTTGGGCTGCCGGATGTCACATGGTTTCACGTCAACCTCGCAGCGTCAATGTCAATATCAATATCAGTCTGCAACGCTTCAAGTTTTCAAGACAGCAAAATAGTTCATTTCGTGCTCGTGCCAAACACCATACCCCCATCTTGCGAAGAAGCTTCTGCCGCCAACGGAAAACCCATCTCGAGTGCCGTCCTGCCGAAAACGCTCTCGCAGCAACCCAACCATGTCCGCCCAAGCCACATCTACGCAACCCGCAAGCCAAAAAAAACCTGAAGCTGTGCCTCAATCCCAGCAACAGAAGCCCGCCGCTCTAGAAGAAGATGACGAGTTTGAAGATTTCCCTGTCGAAGGTACGTCCTCTTTTCTGTCTCCCGGCAAAAGAGCCCAGCAGTCCACTAGCACTTTCTGGATACCTCAAACGAACAGCCTCGATAGCTTTGATATAATCCCCCCGGAAATACTTTTGAGTTGCGAAGAAACGCTAACGTCTTGCGCTCTTTAATTCCTCCGCTCTTCTTTTGCGATTAGATTGGCCCCAAGATGAAGCTGAAACAACTGGTTTCGCGTCCAGCGGAGACACCTCCAGTCACCTCTGGGAGGAGAGCTGGGACGACGATGATAACAATGAAGATTTCTCGAAACAACTAAAGTACGGATACAAATTCTCCCATCCCCCGCACGAAAGAAAACTCCTAAAGCTCAAAACTCCGTTCCCTTCCGTTTTATATTATCTTGTCGTCGATCTTCTAACAACCAAGTCGCGCTTGACTTGCCTTTTTATAGGGAGGAGCTAGAAAAGGTCGAAGCGGCGAAGGGTTCATAGCACTTTTCTTCAAATTTTTTTTTTTTTTTTTTTTTTTTTTTTTTTTTTTTTAAAACTCGCGGGGCTCCTACCCTTTCTCTAAGGGCTTTTTTTTTATTATTATTATTATTATTTCCCCGACCACTTGACGGAACGACGAGCGTGGGAGAATAATTAAGATGAGAATATTTGATTCGGTGCGGGAATTTAAAGCAAGCAAATCAAGCAAAATAAGCATTCTACAATACAATACAATAAAAATAATATAAAAGAACAGAAAGGAGCAAGAAAGAAATCATAGCCCAGTCCCAAATGTTTCTCTGGGTTTGTTTTTCCCTTGCTACCCTGCACATTATTCCTATTTTTGCTTTTGCTCTTGTTTGCTGGGTGTACTGTAAAACTGAAAGCTTTCCTTTTCTTTCCATCTCTCTTTTCTTTTTGTACAGGATTTTTATTTTGTTATATTTGCAAGTTAGAAGCATTTTGCAGCATTTCACCTTGTTGTTTTGTCCTCTCCATCTTTTAGGGGAACCCCGTGATGCTGACTCTTGTTGTACAGAGTTCTAACTCATCATATTCTCTACTGCCATTATATGCACATGTACATGTACAGTACATTCGTCAACGATTAGATAAGGCTGGAGAGAGGAAGAGTAAGAAACACCATTTCACTTGTCACATTACATCAGATAAGAGATAAGTGTGTGTGTGTGTGTGTGTGTGTGTCAGGTTTGCCTATCTACCTACACATAGAGAGACATATGCAGAGTACATGTACTATATGCATTTTACATACATATATGCGCCTCCTTTGGCCATTCGTTATCAGTATAGAAATTGTCTCAAACAGTTTATATACTGCGTGACAACTTTAAAAAGAAAGAAATCCAGCATCAACCGTCGCTGCAACCCTAAGTCAGCAGTGTGGAACATAGGGCCCTCCCTATTATTTTATTTATACCGATCTGCGGCCCGTGAGAAACCCACTAACCAACTCCGCAAACCTTTCCGGCCTCTCCACCATCGGCAAATGACCCGCGCCCTCCACCACCAGAAACTCCACCGCTGAACCCTTCCGCATCATCCCAACCATGTCCCTCATAGTCTTCGGCAACAGCCCATCCTTCTCCCCAGCCAAAAATGCCCCTGGGCCCCCCTCATACCTCCCCATCTCCTCCACAAGATCATACTCCGACAACGCCTCTGCTACCCTCCGAAACCCCTCCAGACTATTCCCGCTAACCATATCCTTAACCCGCCTGAACCTCTCTTCCCACTCTCCCTTCCCGTCATCGCAATCTAACCCCCTAGCAAACCACCTCCGAACCGTCGCCTCCGCCAACCGATTTCCAACAATTGCTTCCCCGCTCTCCGCCGACACTGCCCCTTCCCCCTCCGCAATCGTAACCCTCTCCCCCCACGCCTGTCGATTCCCATCCGGGCTCCTCGCATTCGTGTCACAGGCGACAAACGCCGCCGTGCGCGCCGGGTATTGTAGCGCGGTGTTCAGCACCGTTGCGCCGCCGAGGCTGACGCCTATGAGGGCCGCGGCCCGCTGCACGCGCAGGGCGTCGAGGATGGCTATGATGTCTGCGGCCAGCACGTCGAGAGTGATGCGTTGCTGGCCGCAGTGTCGCGAGCGGCCGCGGGTGAGGTAGCGGAGGATTCTGTATTGGGTGTTCGAATGGGAGGGACCGAAGAAGGAGGTGATGAAATCGTCCCAGATTCGGTGGTTGGTAAGGATGCTGTTGCTGAGGAAGAGGAGGGGGGCGTGCGGGTTTGTGGAACCTTCAAGGCGGTAGGGGAGGGTGACGCCGTCGGGAAGGGTAATGTAGGATTCGATGGCGGGAAGGGGGGTGGGGGAGGAAGAAGAAGGGGGACATGACAGTGATGATATGGGGAGGGTTTTCGTAAGGCCATCTGGGGAAGTGAAGGGGGAGGTTGCTCCCACTTCAGTTTCTGAGGCGAGAGAGGCTAGATCGCGAGGTGCGGGGCCGAAGGTGTAGTAGTGCTCATAGGCGCGCCCAGAGCAATCTTTGACCATGTCTGCCATAACATGTTCGCAACACGGGATGGCGTTTAGGGCTTTCAACTCGGACCCGTTAGGTCCGTCGTGGGACATGTATTCATGCAAAGATAGATATTCCCTGGTCGCGGTGGGCTCGACGGCGGAGCTCACGAATCGTCGCGTCCGCAGCCACCCGGGAGCCTGGGAAAGGAGAGGAAGTTGCTTTTCGTGATACCATTTGTTGAACTCCATCTCCTTATCTGGCTGCAGGGTTTGGATAATTGCCACAAGGACTCTCTTGGTCTTCACCTCTACCTCCGCCTCCACCAATGCGTCTAGTGGCACGTAGCCCTCCACCTTCTTGCTCTCGATAAAGTCGTACAGCCGTCTGTCAATCGTGATCTTCGCTATCGTCTCCTTTTCGCGCTGGCTCTTGACGTCGTCACGGCGAAGGCGCAGGTACGGTTCCCGTTTCAACTCGGCCATGTCGGTGACATCGTAAATAGCAAGCCATTCCGGGGATGATGCTGGGCAGCTCAAGGTGGGAAGACCATGTTTATTTGAGATGTCAGTGGCGCGAAAGCGGAAACCATTCTCGATGAAGGGGAGACGAAGGCGGCTTGGGCCGTGCTCGTTGTTGTACCAGTCATGGAATTGAGCGGCGGAGAGGTTGTCTCTCGGCTGCATTGTAACGTAGAGTAGCCCTGGTGCCATGGCGCCTGCCTGTCATCAGTCTTATGTTTTTGAAATTCACTCTTTTCGTTCTAATTCAAAAGTTGAAGCCTGTACTTTTGAAGGATACACTTGGTAGAGTATAATCCCTAACGATTTGTATCCTAGGTTGTCATGGAACGAGAGCGCAGTGGCTTCCAGATGTAAAACCCGAACTCTCTGGTGCAGCAGCCTGCAGAAGATGGTTTGGTCGAGTGATGTCTATATCCAATGGCTGTCAGTGGACTTCTAAGTTGCGTCACTGACGATGGCCCGAGAGTTGTTGCTGAGCGGACAGCCGAGCTGGTCAGGTGCAGCTGGACGAGCCCAGGCGCGACACCCGAAGAATTGCCCATTCCATTACACTGAAATCGACGCTGAAAATGGCCTCCCATGTTCCTAACCACTCTATCGTTCAACATGACAAGTGCCTTTCCACGGGGCCTGATATTTCCGACGAACGCGTAATAGTATCGCTTTTCAACAGCGTTCCTGGTTATCCATTTCTTTTAAGTTAGGTATTCTGTTTAAAACTGGTGGTTTATACTTTGGGACTAGATCATCTGGATGCCTTGACGTAGTTGAAATGAAAGGATAACGTAATCAACCACTCAACGCCCGTCTACACTCAACGCCCACCCAATCCTCATTTTTTCATCCATCTTCAAACACCCACAAGATGCACCACGAGGCAGTTATATTGTCCGCGATTGATGATTTGAATGCCCAATTGGTTCCTAATTACACTGTGACCGCTGAGAAATATGGAATCAGTCGTTATACACTCTCACGGCGCTATAGAGGTGTTCAAACGTCAAGAAAGGAAGCAACCTCTATCCACCGCAAAATCCTCACAGATTCGCAAGAAAATCGACTCCTTTTTCATATCAATCGATTGGCAGATCGCGGTTTCCCTTGTACGCCCCAAATCCTTCATAATCTTGTTGTTGAGATATTAAAAGAACCTATTGGAGCCAACTGGGTGGCAAGGTTCTGTCAACGCCACAAGGATGTAATCAAGTCAGTTTACCTGCGAAATATCGACCAAAAACGCAAGATTGCGGACAATTCTACATACTTTAAGCATTATTTTGATCTTGTATATATTGCTTTTCTCTACTGCTTTTCTTACTTTTATCTTGCTAATTTATTGTTGATTTGCAGCTACAGGAAAAGATCACTAAATACAATATTGAACCTGGGAATATCTACAACTTCGATGAAAAAGGATTCCTATTGGGCTTCATCCACACCCTCAAGCGTATTGTATCAATTAATGCGCTCAAATCCGGCCGTACAATAGGTGCCAGCCAGGATGGCAGCCGCGAATTCATTACACTACTTGCCTCAATTTGCGCCGATGGAACCTCACTCCCACCTGCTCTCATATATCAAGGGGAATCAAGGGATATGCAAGATACTTGGCTGGAAGATTTTGATAGCAAAAAGGATCAGGTCTACTTTGCTGCTTCAGAGAATGGATGGAGCAATGATGAATATGGGTTAATGTGGTTAAAGAAGATCTTTGAACCTCATACAAAAAAGAAAGCAGGGCGTGGATACAGGCTTCTTATATTAGATGGCCACTCATCCCATGTTAATATGGCATTCATCAATTACGCGGCTCAGCATAAGATTTTACTTGCTGTCTTTCCTCCCCACTCTACACACCGATTACAACCGCTAGATGTTGGGATATTTGGACCATTGAGCAAATCATATTCTAAGCATTTGAATGAGCGAATGAGAACCGGTATGGGATTTGTACGCACTACAAAGAGGTCTTTTTGGCAGCTATTTGATGCTGCTTGGAAGGAATCAGTTACATCCTCAAATATTATATCCGCGTTCGCTGCGGTTGGCCTACATCCATTTGATCCAGAACAGGTTCTTAAAAAGCTTGCAATACGCCCTTGCACCCCTCCAGACGCGCAATATCGACCCAGAACCCCTACATCTATTATTGGCATGCGGAAATTAGTCAAGCAAGTCAAGCAGCGGCAGCGTCGAATATCTAGCGATCTCAACCAGGTGATCCGTGCAGGAGAGAATCTTGCTCTTGATAAAGAGGTTCTTTTAATAGAGAACAGGCAGCTACAGCAAGCTCTTAATCAGGAAAGAAGACGTCGCAAGCGTGGCAGGGCAATGGGGTTGCTAGATTCTTCAAATCCGTCATTGGCACAGTTCTTTTCACCGGCAAAGGTGCAGAGCATCCGCGAGCAGATGACTGCCGCAGAGGCCGCCAAAAAGGATGAACAGGCTCGTAAGGAGGATGCCAAGTTGCAACACGCTATTCTTAAGGAGCAGAAGGAGACAGATATCATGTTACAGCGAATGGAGCGGGAGGCAGCTCGCCAGGCAGCTAAGGAGCAAAAGGAGATGGATAAGGCCGCAAGAGCCGCTCAACGGCAGATTGACAGGGAGCTTAGGGATGCAAAGAAGGCCCAAGAGCAAAAGGAAAAGGAAGAACGAGCTGCTGCGCGGCAGCAATCGCGGTTGGGGGGGGGGCCAGGTTCGGGGGTCCAAAAATCACCTTCCTAATCGGGAAATCAGACCCTCGATTTCGCAAAGAGTGGCTAAATCGCGTTTTCAGAGCTCTGCCAGGTTGCCCGCGGGTCCGCCGCCGGGGGGTCCGGATGATATTGCAACCCCTACGGATTTGACCGCTGCCTGCTCATTGAATCTGCCTCCACCCAAGATTTCGCGTTCCGGGCGAGTTATTAAGCCCAACAAACAACTTTTGAATTAGCTATATATTTTTATATGTAATTTTCTATATATATTTTCATCATATAATATATCATATTAAAATCTAATTGCGTTGTTGAGATATTAATGAAAAGATTTCATTGTAGTGGTGGCAAAATAGCGGGCGTTGAGTGTAGACGGGCGTTGAGTGGTTGATTACGTTACCTAGTACGGGGAAGCGTCCTGGTTGTTCTCAGAAGTGGGGGCCTTCAAGGGAACAGGTTAAGAAAGAGTTTAGTCGGAGTCGTACTTTGCTTCCCACCTACATTGTAGTCCAGCACGCTGACCTTGTCAAGCATGTCCATCCGAATGAGACGAGAGCCATAACGTAATCAACCACCTAACGCTCGTTTCCACCTAACGCTCGGCCAAATTATCCCTTCATGTAGGAGGATAACATTTGTTTTTCAATTACTAAACTAACTACGCGAGAGCAACACAATATGTTGGGGGGCACGTGATAGGGTAGCCGTAGTACCCCCTAACAGAGTTCATTGGGTGGTGAGTCACGTTAGGTGGTTGATTACGTTACCACCATTTGGAGGTGCTTGGCAGTCTGATGGCGTCACCCAACGATCCAGTTAAAAACAGTGTAATGATAAAAATATCAACTTCTTCATTAATCAATCTTCAAATATTAATATATCATCACCACCATGATCAATAAGATGAATGATATTGAAAAACATATTCAGAATGTCATTAAAGTTTATAATGACAATTAAAAATAAAAATTTTTATCTCTAACATACAAATTCAACATTTTTTATCAATATTTTTAAATGAGAATCAATGAAAAAAAACCACATAATGCAAAAGTTGCACTGAACAAGAAGTTTAACAAAAATCAAAAGAATATATTGAAAGAATGAATAATTTATATAAATAAAAATTATTATTTATTGATTGCAGAGTAGATTTAAAAAAATATGAATTTTATTTTTAAATATCATTATATTGATTCTTCAACCTTCTCATTCATAATCAGCAAAATGTGAATTTATTGATATATAAAAAATTTGAATGAGTATAAAAGAGTGAAGTAAAAAACAATGAATTTGAAAAAAAGTGTTGTAAAGAATATTAATTACATTAAAATGTGATTTGATTATCTGAAAATTTTATTTCAAAAGTACATATTTCAAATCTGTGATATCTACAACTTTGATGAAATTGACTTTCAAAAAGGTTAAGAATGTGAAGAATGAATTATTATTGTTTTTAAAAATTTAAATTTAATTATAATTTCATCATATTCTTGAGAATTGATCACTGTGATTGAATGTATTTCAGCAAATGATGAGATATTGAATCTCTTTATATTATGAAATTTAAAACTCATTTTAAAAATTGATATACACAAAGCAATTTATTAAATGAATATACAATTACAATGTCAGATATTGATTATATCAATGATGAAATTGATTTTGTTTGAATTCAGTATTTTAATAAAATTATTAAAAAATATTAATAAAGTAATTATCAATTCTTGTTTTTTGATAATTATAAATCTCATCTTACTGAAGAATTTCTGCAATACTGCAATCTTCACAAGATTATTCTATATAAATTTCCTTCACATTCAACTCTGCTACCGAGTCTCTAACTCAGCAAGCTTCTCACTGGGTATAAGGTAAGGTCGGGGCTTATATAGTGTTGCTGAGCTTGTTCACTGAGTCAGGAGGTAGTGCCACTATCACAGGTTAAGATATAACGTCAAGAGGAATATCTAGGATGACTAGCGATAGCTACGGCGGCGGCCTAAGGTAAACAATAAGGATACCTAGTAGGGCTTACAAGGTAGGGCGGATACTTAAGGTATGCGTCGTGAAGAAGTATACTTAAGGTGAACTTATAGTCGTACTATGTAACTTGAGTATAAGTAAAGGTGTAGTAGGGCGAGTTAATAAGAAAAGTAAGATTGATCGTGATCAAGAAGATAAGCTCCTTGATCCTAAGGGTAATGAGTGTGTTTAAATACATTTGAGTCCTCATACAAAATATCCTGCTCGCTCTGCTCACTTGCTCACTTTGCTCACCGGTGATCATGGTGAGCACGGTGATCAGGGTGAGTAGTCACGTGACCTCATACTAGCGTCGGTTGTGGGTTGTTCCGTTCCTGCATTCCTTCGGTTCTTATCCAATAAGCTGAGATGCCATTTCAGCAGTATAAACATTATCATTCAAAATCAGTTAATCAAATTGTTTGATATGAATATAAGCAATATGAAAAATGTCAGTTTCTACAAAATCTAATCAATGTTTGTAAAAAAATCTTTCAATCTTTTATTATTTAAACTGACTTTACAGATTGTGACATCATTTTATGATGAGTTAGCATTTATTAGTGATTAACTTATGCAATCAACCTCTTCTGCCTCACGCTCCGCGCTCGCGTAGTTCCTCACACTCCACACTCATATAGCTTTAATAATTCTTCCACATAACCCTCAATATTCTTCCACTCTGTGCTTCACTGCAGAGTGGCTTTTGATATTCTTCCATTTCAATCTCTTCTCTATAAAAACCCTCTTTATATAACCTTTTCTTCTGATCTCTTTTCTCTTTCTTTTCTGATTTAAACGTTCAAACGGTGAGCAAAAGGCCGGATGTCGACTAGCTCGACGGCTGCTTTACGCCGGCCGTTGTCCAATACTGCCACGCTCCACGCGCGGCGGACGCCCCTCCTGCGCGCTGCATGCTCAATTCCCACGCCCCAGCGTTCTCAGGTACGGAAAATGCATCCCCTCACCCGCTCTGGGAAATGGGCGCTTGCATCCTCCTCCTTCCAACCACGTTGAGACCGCCGGCCAGATATGGCCCTCTCGGGGCTGACTATAAAATCATGGCTCCCTTCTCTCCAGCGGACGATCTGGTCCCCCTCACAATTCCAGCGTCCCTTTTCGTCGAATCTTCTCAGCCCATCAACCCCTCGCCGTTCCCCAAGCTATCAAGTCGCGTTTGCCCAGTCTTATAACCCTCCCACCCCAACCAACGAGCTCTCTGTTCGTTCAACGATCCATCGCTGAGCCCTCCATCCCTATCCCTTCCAGTTTCCTCCTCTGGTCCTGTGCGGGACGAAGAATGGCTCGTGGACACCGCGTACCATCACCCGTCGACAGCGACAGCGAGGAGGACCCGATGGACGATGGTGATGGTGATGATGATGATGATAGCGATGGCACGGCCTCCGATTCCAGCGGAGAGACCGACCTGACGGACCCGGCTGATTACGGGGAAGACGGCAAGAATGACGCCAGCGATCTGGCTGGTCTGCTGGCGGGCGACGAGCACCTTCCAGAGTACCCAGACGGATCCTTACTCCAATACGATGAATACGCGCCCAATTCTCGGAAGCTGCTCGACCGCATCGAGCAGGAATGGTTCAAGTGAGTGTCTGGATCCCCCCCTCCCCCTCTCCTGGCCGCATTTTCTTTCTAGTTTCTCAAACGCTATGCAGATTCTGCGCCTGCGTCAAGCGGGACCCCAAGGAGATGTATCAGCGGATGGACGTAAAGATGCTATACACTTTCTTCCGCTGGGTGCTGAACCAACGTCGCGGCAAGGGTGGGAGACGACGCCAGGGGCTCAAATACCAGAGCTCCCTGGAGACGTACTGGAAGATCTTCCGTCTGGTCTACGAGAGGGAGATGCAGGAGAAGATCGGCCGGGAGATATCGCTGAGGGTGACCAAAAATGTATGCAACTGCCCCTTCCCGTATCACCCTCGGCACCTGGACAGATCCCGTCCGGTGGCTGAATCGTTTCACGGTACTGACCCGGGGCCTGCTTGTGTTCAAGGTGATCCCAAAACTGGCGCGGCTGTACCATCTCAAGAAGGGGCGGCGGAAGAAGTCGGTCGTCTATCTGGACGACCTCGTCAAGGTCGTCGAGACGACCGTCACCACCACCAAGAAGAAGTTCGGTCACGGCCGGCAGCGGATCCTGCTCTGCCTGTTCTTCCAGCTGGCCGGGTTCTCGGCCAATCGACCGCAGGCGTTGCTGAATCTGTGCTACCGGCACATCAAGATCACCCTCCTGAAGGACCCCGATGGCGGGCCCAATAACATCCTGATCGAGTTTACCATTGAATTCGCCAAAACATTCCTTGGAGAGAAGGAGGAGTACGTGACGCGTCCGCTCCGACCCGTTCTGACGTACCG